GGAGGGGAGTGAGTCACCGATCCTAATATTCCAGCGGGTTTCAGCCCGCCGCGCGCCGGCCTCTGCCCCTTGGCTGTGTCTGCCTTTCCAAAGAGATGGGGCCAGCCATTCCCCGGTGGATGACAAAGGCGAGCCCCAGTGGGGGAGGGAGTGTTTTGCTCCTTTACTTTGTAGTCATTTACACCCTAGCTGGAGCTAGCCCAGAAAGGGAGCCCTGGGGGGGCGGGGGTCTTACTTGCTATCAGAGCCATGCGTGCTAGGGCACAGTGACAGTGCACCCAAGTGGGGCACCAAGATGGTGTAGAGGACTTTGACAGGTCTTGTGCCCCCTCCTTGGGAGTGGGCTGGGAGTTCTTTAGCTAATTTTATGGCTAGAGAAAGGGAAAGGAGGGGGTAATTCCAGGACACAGCTGGGCCTTGACCGCCGTGGGCCTCCACTGAACTGCCTGGGGCTTGTTTCTGGCAGGTCCAGCTGATGGGCCTGGAGGCTGCTGAGGAGCTCTGCCTGGCCCTGGCCAGGGATCGGGTGGGTGGGTGGTGAAGATGATTGGCAGGAGTCTGGGAGGGGCTCTGGCTGGCTGGGGAGTGGCTGGTTCTTTGGTTGGGGTTGGAGGCGGGAAAAGGGTACTGGCTCCGACTGGCCTCACGGTTCCACTCCTGTGCCAGAAGTTCTTCCGGTTCTGGGAGCCACCATTTGGGCATTATTGACAGGATCACAGTCCCCTTGAGTCCCTGCTCCACCAGGGTGCTAAGGGAGGCTGGGTGTGTGTCCATGTGGTTACGTGCTCAGATTAAATCTGGGCATTCTCATCTCCTAGGTGGGTGACCGACTTCAGGACCTTGGTTTCTGTGTAATGAAGGGGGTCCTGGTACCTGCCCCTTACCCTGGAGTGAGGTTTGCTGAGGGCAGGCAGAGTACTCTGCTGCTCAGTAAGTCTGAGTATCTTAGGGGGTCACCTGGATGCTGGCATGGGCCATTGTGGCTGAGGGTTGCTGTCATGTCCCCATGTGTAGGCCTGGCCTGGTCCTGTGCTCTTCACATTATGGGTGCTCCCTGAACCTTCATGGTGGTACGTTGCGGTTGGCCTCACGGCCCTACGGATATTCACAAGGACAGAAGTCTTTACCAGAGCTGGTGGTGCAGTGGTGGAGGAGGAACATCTTGCCGTCTCTGGGTGCCCATTCTTTGTGATGGGAGGGCTCAGATTTCTGATGGGGTGGAGGGAAGATGTCATCTTGGTCTGTGGTGGCTGGATCACAGGAGGACTCCCAGTCGCCCTTTCTTCGCCGAACTGCCTTGGGCTCGGGACGATTTGCAGAGTGATGTACCACCTCTGATCCGTAGATGAGACATTTGAGGCTCTGAGAGTTCCCTGGACTTGCCCCAGGTCACCCGGATGGTAAATGACATTACTGGGACTGTGGGTATGCATCGTCCCCTAGGACTCTAAATAAATGACGACTTTAAAAGACTTGCTGACTTCCCAGGGCTTTAGGTGGCATGAGTCTGCTTTCTGGGGTGACAGCAGGAGCATGCCTGCTTTCCCTGAGCATCTGGATACTTTACCAGGGAGTCAGCAGGGCCCCTCTTCGAGGCTCTCAAGACTGTCTCCTTTCTGTCTGCCTGTCGTGTGCCAGAAGCTGTCCAGCTCACAGGCTGATGTCCCTTACTTTTAGAAGGCTACATGGTTTCCCGGTGGCATCCTGTCTTCAGAAGGTTTGGAGTTCCTCTTCCACTTTGAGTTCATCTTAGGTGGGCTGTGGATTCTAGGGGCGCATAATATCAAGGTGCATTTATTAAGCATCTGCTGTGCACCAAGCTGGCACTAGGAGATGGTCATGGAGACACCTTGGCTGTCCATTGTGTTGTGTGCTCTTGGAATGGACTGGATATACTTTATTTTACCCCAGTGCCTGGAAACCACCTTGGGCTTAATTAAGCTAATTAGGTATGGCCACTGTCTGCTGACCCTAAGAAGGGACCCAGCAGAGCTCAAGTGGCTGCAGTCCTACGGTATGAGGATGCCTGCCCAGCAGAGTCCCCGTGCTTGCTCTGTGGTGGCCCTTTAAGAAGACTGCCCATCCAGCTCTGCCATGTCCATATAACCCCTGGTGGCCTCCTTCCCTTAGGACATCAGTGGCCTGTCTGCTGCAGGAACCCAGCATAGATCTTTGGAGACCTGGAACCCTAGGGTTTGCTACCACTGGACCTCCACGCCTGCCACTGCCTGCCTCTGCCCTGATGGTCAAGCCTGGCTACTTTCTGTACCCTCCTCATGATTTCTTTTCATGTCTATCACAAGCTGTGTCTTTTTTGAGACAGGGTCTTCCTGTAGCCTCAGCTGGCTTGGAACTTGCTATGTAGACCGGGCTGGCCTTGAACTCACAGAGATCCTTGGCACCACCACACCTAGCCACAAGCTGTGTCTTTATAGGAAGGGAGACTGACTTCCTTCCAGGCCTGCCTTCTGGCTTGGAACTTGCTATGTAGACCAGGCTGGCCTTGAACTCACAGAGATCCTTGGCCTCCTGGGTGCTGGGATTAAAGGTGTGCACCACCACACCTGGCCACAAGCTGTGTCTTTATAGGAAGGGAGATTGACTTCCTTCCAGGCCTGCCTTCTTCTTTCTTTTCTCTTTCTTTCTTTCTTTCTTTCTTTCTTTCTTTCTTTCTTTCTTCCTTCGTTCCTTCCTTCGTTCCTTCCTTCCTTCGTTCTTTCTTTCTTTCTTTCTTTCTTTTCTTTCATTTATTATTTTTATTTTATGTGTATGAGTCTATTGCCTGCATGTGTGAGTGCACCCGTGTTGTGCAATGCTCACTTAGATCAGAAGGAGGCATCAGAATCTCCTGGAACTGGAGTTAGGGACTGTTGTTAGCCGCCATGTGGGTGCTGGGACTCGAACCTGGGCCCTCTTCAGGAGCAGCCAGTGCTTTTAACTGCCAAGCCACCTTTCCAGCCCCTGGGCTGGTTCTTTATGTCCACTGGTTTGGAGGTCTCCTCCAGGACCCTCCTATGGTTCTCTCCCATCCCAAGCCTTGTTCTAGGCTCCCACTGTTAGGTGTGTCTCCTCTGTGTTGTGCTCTTCCCCACTGCTTGTGCCTGCTCTCCTAGATTTAGACCTCTGTGTGTTTAGATCATGAAGGTTAGGATGGGAGCCTCTCCAGGCAGGGCTTTGTCTTCTCTGGGTCCCCCTACCCTGGCCTTCTTTGCGGAGGAGGCTGTCCTTTCTTTTTCTTTCCTTCAAGGACTAATTGCTCAGCCCCCTGCGCCACAGGAGGGACCAGGGACCGGAGAGCAGCAGGCTGGCCAACGTTCTCAGGAAGTCTAGGCAAGTAATGGCCAGCCCATCTTGCTTGTTGACTGAGAAAGCAATTGGCTGCCCAGTTCCTGAGTGTAAACTCGGGCCAGGGTTTGAGGCACAGGGGTTTCAGGGAGCTGAGAGAGGAAGGCTGATTGTCAAGGAAAAGGCTATTTTCAGTTCTGAGAAGGGTCCGACTCTAGGGCTGTGAGTTCACATTGCTTTCTCATGGACCAGGAGGGTAAGTAGGAACTTGGTGTTCTGTACCCCTAATGTCCAGTGTGTTTTCTACAAACAAGTGTGTGCTCTGTGACCACAGCACGGCCATCTGTCAGCGGCAAACCACATGGGTGTCCACAGTCGCCCCAGTAAATACCCTTTTCGGCACAGCTGACCTGGGCTATTTAGCTGCACCGTCTCCCCGAAGCCTCCCCGAGCCAGGGCTGAGTCTATCCTATCTTTGATTTTCATGACCTCTGGAGTTCCAGGCTCCTTGGGTTTGAATTCCACGGATGCCTCATGATTAGACTCTGGCTGTGCACCTGCAGGGGGGGCGTGGTGGCCACCACCACACCCTCCTGGATGTGAGCAGGTGACTCCAGGCTCAGCCTTGCCCCAGGGATGTTGAGTTAACTACTGTGGCCATCTCCGATGTAGTCACTGTTCCTTGACAGTTAACCAGGCTTTAAAGGAGGTGTTTTGAGACAAGGTAGATATTGATTCCTCTCTCTTCCTCCTCTCCCTGTTTCCTTTCTCCCCCTGTCCCCCTTCTTTCTTTCT